ATATTTTCACACTATAAAGTATAGGTTTATTAGTGATATTTTCACACTATAAAATACAGGTTTTATAAGTGATATTTTCACACTATAAAGTACAGGTTTTATTAGTAATATTTTCACACTATAAAGTATAGGTTTATAAGTGATATTTTCACACTATAAAATACAGGTTTTATAAGTGATATTTTCACACTATAAAGTATAGGTTTTATAAGTGATATTTTCACACTATAAGGTATAGGTTTTATTAGTGATATTTTCACACTATAAAGTATAGGTTTTATAAGTGATATTTTCACACTATAAAGTATAGATTTTATAAGTGATATTTTCACACTATAAAGTATAGGTTTTATTAGTGATATTTTCACACTATAAAGTATAGGTTTTATAAGTGATATTTTCACACTATAAAGGGAGAGTTGAATTACTACTTCTGACATTTATATGAAGACAAAGATTTGTAACTACTATTTCCGTCACTATCAATTAATTAGTCATGCTTGACTGGTTTACACAATATCCCATTTTTCTTACTACCATTTCTGGAACTACATGTATAAAGGAACGCTTTCCCCGACGCTATAGACCTACATACATTTCCGATATTATAAAGTAAGGGTTGTAAAGCTTATACCGATGTGGTTCGCTCTACAGCCTCACAATCTACACCTGTACTGTATACTTACCCGTAATTCTCCTGTGTTAGAGGCCCCATAGAATCCAACCTCAAACCAAGTAGCAATCAACATCCACGTAAACTCCTTTCTCAAAAAAAAGTATTTCCGAACTTCTTCTGTTGCCCTGGTTAGAAGAAGAGGATCCGTTGTCTGTCTATACGTCACATTACCCCCTTCTCGCTGTGTGTCTATATCCGCCCAGAATATGGCTATCACGGACGTGTTGTCGTTCAGAGGGAATTTTTCAGGTTTGTATGACTTTTTCTCCTTTTCAAATGTCAAAAGGCCGTTATTATTAACCTGAAATCATACAAGATTAAAGTCGTGTGTTAATATAAGTTACTTTTATTTCAGTTTTTTGTGTGTTGATAAAAGTTCCTTTTATTTTGTAAATGTTTAAGTCATATATAACAGACACCGTGGTAAAGTCAATCAAAACCCGTTGACTAATGTGGTAATGCTGTTTTAATGTTGTTGTAGCTGGATCGATGTCCGACCATGTATCATCATTCACAAGAATGTAACCGCGCAAAACACCCTCGCCCACAAATCATGTTGTACATTTGTACGTGAAAGTTAAACACCTATCTCTGAAGACTCAAGTTGTACGAGATAGTTATATACCTACCTCTGAAGAATCATGTTGTACGTGAAAGTTAAACACCTATCTCTGAAGAATCATGTTTTACGTGAAAGTTATATACCTATCTCTCAAGAATCATGTTTTACGTGAAAGTTATATACCTATCTCTAGAATTAGAACATAGCATTACGATTCGGGAGGTGATGTTCGTATTTTTCAATGTATTAGAACAAACTTAACCTGATTCAGTAAATATGTGTTATAAAAAACATACACGATGGATATTGGGACCCCAACATTGCAGCAAATGGTTAAGGCACGAAATAATTTACAGTTGGTGCATTTTACTGAAATGACATGGAATCAATTTAAGACGATGACAAACAAGAGATCCCAGATGGATCTTGGCGCCCACCATTATACCATCTTCATTAGTTTTATGTTAGAGGGATCCTGGGGCCCCCCATTATACGTTCTTCATTAGTTTTATGTTAGAGGGATCCTGGGGCCCCCATTATACGTTCTTCATTAGTCCTATGTCAGAGGGATCCTGGGGCCCACCATTATACCATCTCCATTAGTTCTATGTCAGAGGGATCCTGGGGCCCACCATTATACAGTGTACCATCTTCATTAGTCCTATGTCAGAGGGATCCTGGGGCCCCCATTATACGTTCTTCATTAGTGCTATGTCAGAGGGATCCTGGGGCCCAGCATTATACCATCTTCATTAGTCCTATGTTAGAGGGATCCTGGGGCCCACCATTATACAGTGTTCCATCTTCATTAGTCCAATGTCAGAGGGATCCTGGGGCCCCCCATTATAACATCTTCATTAGTCCTATGTCAGAGGGATCCTGGGGCCCATCATTATACAGTGTACCATCTTCATTAGTCCTATGTCAGAGGGATCCTGGGGCCCACCATTATACAGTGTTCCATCTTCATTAGTCCTATGTCAGAGGGATCCTGGGGCCCACCATTATACCATCTTCATTAGTCCTATGTCAGAGGGATCCTGGGGCCCACCATTATACCATCTTCATTAGTCCTATGTCAGAGGGATCCTGGGGCCCACCATTATACCATCTTCATTAGTCCTATGTCAGAGGGATCCTGGGGCCCACCATTATACCATCTTCATTAGTCCTATGTCAGAGGGATCCTGGGGCCCACCATTATACCATCTTCATTAGTCCTATGTCAGAGGGATCCTGGGGCCCACCATTATACCATCTTCATTAGTCCTATGTCAGAGGGATCCTGGGGCCCACCATTATACCATCTTCATTAGTCCTATGTCAGAGGGATCCTGGGGCCCACCATTATACCATCTTCATTAGTCCTATGTCAGAGGGATCCTGGGGCCCACCATTATACCATCTTCATTAGTCCTATGTCAGAGGGATCCTGGGGCCCACCATTATACCATCTTCATTAGTCCTATGTCAGAGGGATCCTGGGGCCCACCATTATACCATCTTCATTAGTCCTATGTCAGAGGGATCCTGGGGCCCACCATTATACCATCTTCATTAGTCCTATGTCAGAGGGATCCTGGGGCCCACCATTATACCATCTTCATTAGTCCTATGTCAGAGGGATCCTGGGGCCCACCATTATACCATCTTCATTAGTCCTATGTCAGAGGGATCCTGGGGCCCACCATTATACCATCTTCATTAGTCCTATGTCAGAGGGATCCTGGGGCCCACCATTATACCATCTTCATTAGTCCTATGTCAGAGGGATCCTGGGGCCCACCATTATACCATCTTCATTAGTCCTATGTCAGAGGGATCCTGGGGCCCACCATTATACCATCTTCATTAGTCCTATGTCAGAGGGATCCTGGGGCCCACCATTATACCATCTTCATTAGTCCTATGTCAGAGGGATCCTGGGGCCCACCATTATACCATCTTCATTAGTCCTATGTCAGAGGGATCCTGGGGCCCACCATTATACCATCTTCATTAGTCCTATGTCAGAGGGATCCTGGGGCCCCCCATTATACCATCTTCATTAGTCCTATGTCAGAGGGATCCTGGGGCCCACCATTATACCATCTTAATTAGTCCTATGTCAGAGGGATCCTGGGGCCCACCATAATACCATCTGCATTAGTTCTGTCAATGTGATATTTTCTCTTGTTTTCTTCTCTCAGTTTGATCGAGTCAAGTTTACAGTAAATGCAACTTCATACTGCTATGAAGGCAACCTTCAAAGCGAGTTTGTCATTTCACTTATTTACTTGTTTTTAGTCTAAAAAAAATACATGCGCAATTAGGACTAAGGAAACCCTTAATATGAAATTTGAGAAATATTTGTCAAGCGGGTTTTTTTCAGAAAAAGCGATAAAAAAAATCAAAATACATGATGGTTGCCTGGCGGATTTTGTTTTAAAGATGAGTCTTGACATGAGACATGCAAAACTGGGTACCAAAGGGAACATTCATTTGAAATTTAAAAAGATCCCTCAAGTACTTATCGAGTAATAGCAATAACAAACTTTAACTGTCAAAATCCAAGATGGCCATTGGTCAGCCATTTTGTTAAACCGATCAGTCTCAAAAGTAAACATGTACAAAAATCGATAAAGGAGATCCTAGATATCAAAATTGAGAAATATCCCTCAAGCACTTTTTGAGAAATAGTGAAAACAATCTTTATCTGTCAAAATCCAAGATGGCCGCATATCAGCCATTTTTTATCCGTTTAGTTTCAAATGTTAACACGCACATTTACAGACCAAGGGAAACTTACAGGTGAAATCTGGAAAAGACCCATTCAGTACTTCCTGAGAAATAGCGATAGCAAACTTCACTTTCAGAATGAAAGACGTCCGCCTATCGGCAATTTTGTTGTATTGCACAACTAGGGACCAAGGGGAACTTACATATAACATTTATAAAAGTTCCCTCCAATACTTTAAGAGGAATTGCTATGAAAAGAATTATTTAAGGACGGACTCTGGACCATGGAAAACCTTCATTTGAAACTTCAGAAAGAGCGTTAACAACAATTGTTTAAGGACAGGCGGCCGGACGAACCACGGACGAAGGGTGATTTTTAATAGCCCACCATACAGTAGATCATACCATTGGTGTATGTTGACAATCATACTTCGACTGTACAGTAGGGCATACCATTGGTGTATGTTGACAATCGTACTCAGACTGTACAGTAGGGCATAACATTGATGTCTGTTGACCATCATACTCCGACTGTACAGTAGGGCATACCATTGGTGTCTGTTGACAATCATACTTCGACTGTATAGTAGGGCATACCATTGGTGTCTGTTGACCATCATACTTCGACTGTACAGTAGGGCATACCATTGGTGTTTGTTGACCATCATACTTCGACTGTACAGTAGAGCATACCATTGGTGTCTGTTGACCATCATACTCCGACTGTACAGTAGGGCATACCATTGGTGTCTGTTAACTATCATACTCCGACTGTACAGTAGGGCATACCATTGGTGTCTGTTGACTATCATACTCCGACTGTACAATAGGGCATACCATTGGTGTCTGTTGACAATCATCCTTCGACTGTACAGTAGGGCATACCATTGGTGTCTGTTAACTATCATACTCCGACTGTACAGTAGGGCATACCATTGGTGTCTGTTGACAATCATACTTCGACTGTACAGTAGGGCATACCATTGGTGTTTGTTGACCATCATACTTCGACTGTACAGTAGAGCATACCATTGGTGTCTGTTGACCATCATACTCCGCCTGTACAGTAGGGCATACCATTGGTGTCTGTTGACCATCATACTCAGACTGTACGGTAGAGCATACCACTGTTGATTATCATTGTAGAATACATGTCAAATAGTTAATAGCCTGCAGAGAACGCGAGTAATTTAATACATTCTCCTCACATGCCTCTTGCCAACTTACATATTTATATAATGTTTACAATCTTATCAGCAAGAGTACCGCACGGGTGAAACGATATACGCCCGTCCAATGTACCAACCACTTAGACTCATTGTGTATCAAAGTGACGTACTCCGAATTTTTCTGGGCATTCTTAAAAGAGTAAAGTTGATTTCTGAGATTATGGTGTACTAACCCACCTGAACGAATGTATATGTCCTATATCTTTTTCCAATACAAATATGAACGACATTTATAAAGTTATCTTGCGGAAACCACAGTGAGGACCAAAACAAAAACCAACAAAATAGGTGGCTGATCCTTCCGTGTGTACATGCATCAAAACAGGCGAGACAAATAATTTAGTAGAATTTCAGTATGTTTCCAAATTGTGTGCTTTTTTTTGTTGATTGATTATGATTGATTATGAACTAACTCCATAGCCTTGTGCAATGGCAAGCTAAGCTAAGGTTGACATTGCGATTTTGGTGGTGGAAGTCTGTGTAGCTTTCAACGGGGAGGAGTAAATTATCAAAACATTGTCTTGATTAGCCACCATGTCTTGCGCCCTTGAGAAGTCTATTATAACGGTCGTGCATAGCTATGCACAGTCGTCAAAATTAAAAGCTGCCTTCCATAACTTACGTTGGTAAACTGGTGCAGAAAATACGTTGATGTGTGAAGAAGTAATTTATAAAACGTGGTCCGTATTTCACCCTTCCCCTACCTTACCTCCGGCCAAAGAGATAATGTTATGCATTCCATTTAATTACAGCTACATATGTAGCCAGATCCACATCTCAAATCTAAATTTC